AGAGGAGGATAGGTATGAAAACATACAGCACACTGATCAAATTTGAAAGTTTGTGTTCTTCAACTTATGAAATGTCCTTTTCTTTTTTTTGCAGCTGCTAAGATGGCAGGAGTTTACAGCGACAGCGACCCTCCCAGGAAGACCATGAGGCGCGGGGTCCTGATGACGCTGCTCCAGCAGTCGGCCATGACGCTCCCTCTGTGGATCGGGAAGCCGGGGGAGAGGTAACTGCTGCTCATCTTCTCTCTGCAGAGTCACGGCTGAACAGTTTTTTTTTCCAGTGGATTGCAGCTGCGTGCGCCTGAAACCTGGCGGCTCAGGGAGTATTCACAGGCCTTTAGTAGTTTAGGAGTTTCAATCATTTGTACGTCATTTGTGCAAGAAAAACGAATGTCCGTGCTTCACTATTTCACAGATTATTTAACTGACGTGAAGCTAATAACCTGAGAATTAATGAGAGAAAATGTCTGTTTTTCTTGCACAAACGTGCAGAGGAATGAGTCGCCACTGTGGAGTCGTTTGGAGGCTTATAGCTGTAATAATTCATTCCTCAACATTTAAATTTGACAAATGAATCAAATGTATTCAATCAACAAGTTTATATTATCTTTATTTATGTGTAATAGAGATAGTGTAAAGTTATATTCTGTAGGACATTAATCTCGGCAGCTGTCTGCGTCTCCTCAGCCTTCAGGTTCAAAAGCTGCAGCTGAATCAAAACACACGACAAGGTGAACATGAATAACCCCATCTGTAACCGCTGTAAGGTCGTCCGGCGTCACATGCTCATGCACGTGCGCACAGCAGCACATCTGATGGAGGAAACACTGATAAACTCTAATCTTCTCCTGTGACCTGTGGAGGACTGTGTTCTCGCTGCGGCTCAGGCTTCTCAAAGACGTCGAGAGTCCAGACTCACTCTGCTGCGACCGATCGCCCACTAACTGAAATCTAAAATCATAAATACTAAAATGACACGTCCAACGTTTTCTCCTCTGTGTTGACCACCCTCAGCCCCCCCCCTCTGTGCGGCGCGACCCCGGCCAGCAGCGACTACGTGGCCAAACAGGGCGACAAAGTGGCGGCGAGGGTGAAGGCTGTGGACGGAGACGAGCAGTGGATCCTGGCTGAGGTGGTCAGCTACAACCACTCCACCAACAAGTGAGAACACCACACAGTTCAAACACACACACACACACACACACACAATAACTGTGAGAGGTCCAGATGTCAGGATGTAAATCACAGCTGGACTGAACAGATGTGACCTCTCTCTCCCTGCAGGTATGAAGTGGACGACATTGATGAAGAAGGAAAAGAGTGAGTTCTTCATCTACAGTCATCTCTGTTCTGTCTTCATGTTCTTCTCTCTCTTTCCTCTTTATTCTTTGGGTCTCTCTCTCTCTCTATATATATATATACATATGTATATATAAACATTCGATAAACAGTTAAAACACACATTAATGTAGCTACAAGCAGAGACAAGAACATTTTAAGGCTTTATCAATGTTCAGTATTTGTTCTAACTCCATCTGAAACATATTTATAAAGACTGTAAACAGGGGAAACAGTTAGTCTCCGTCCAAGGTTCATAACTGCACAGCTCTCTGACTAACATTGTGTGTATATATTATCTTGTTTGTTTAATCATTGCACAAACAGAAAAGTAAAAAACACTGTTTGTGGTTTCAGGAGGAGTTGGAACCATTAATCCACCGTCACTTAGTTAAAGGTCATTACTCTGTATTTGTCTTATTGTCTCACAGTCCGTCTCGCAACACCTTCCCTCCTCTGTCTGTGTCTCTCAGCTCTGAGCTCATTGGTTCCTACTGAAGACGTAAATCTGTAAAAACACCTCACAAATATCAAGTTTCATTTTTATCAAACAAACAGGAGGAATTGTATATGTTGCTGGGGACTATTTTCAGCAGCGGATTAATCCAAATTTGGTGCTGTAGTGAGTTTCTGTTGCAGCAGGACGGTGTGTGTGTCTCTGTTTAGTGTCTACATGAGCTGAGAGACCTGTTGACACTGTCGTCTCTAACTGTGTGTGTGTGTGTGTGTGTGTGTGTGTGAGATCAGGAGACACACTCTGAGCAGACGGCGGATCATCCCTCTGCCTCAGTGGAAGGCTAACCCAGAGACGGACCCCGAGGCCCTGTTCAGTAAGGACCAGCTGGTGCTGGCCCTCTACCCTCAGACCACCTGCTTCTACCGGGCCCTGATCCACACCCCGCCACACAGGGTGAGACTCTGCTCACAGCTCAGCGGCTTCTTCACATGTTTTTTCAGATGCTGAAAAAGCAGAGGGAAGGTGGCTGTGGTCAGGATGTAGACGAGTTCAGTGAAGCGTGGATCCAGTCAGGAGTTTTAGAGCCGGTACAGGTTTAATTCAACAGGTTCACGTTCCTTATTCCAACAGATATATAACACATTATATCCATCTTATAATGCAGACGTCATATCTCTGTCTTAGTCTTTCCGTCCCCTGAATCTTGTTGCTACTGGAGGAGGATGGACCTGTTGTCACGTTTGAGCGACGCCTGCTCAGTAAATATTTCCAGGAGGTCTCCATGTTTAATGTTTAAACGTCAAAACGTTCATGAATTCTTTAATGTTACCACAGATTTCAAGAATGCACCATTACCTCAAGACAGAGAGTGACGTGTCTGATTTAACTGATAACTGACAGTTAAGATTATCAGACGTTTTCCATTTGACAAGTAAATACAGCTGAAATCACGGCTCAGTCTTTGTCTTTTAAAACCAGGATTTCACCTATAAGACACACATCGTCACCGTTTACAGCTGCAGCCTCTGACCTTAACATTTGTCTGTTCACAGCCTCAGGACGACTACTCGGTGCTGTTTGAGGACACGTCGTACGCAGACGGTTACTCCCCTCCTCTGAATGTGGCTCAGCGATACGTGGTCGCCTGCAAAGAGAACAAGAAGAAGTGACGGACGCCTGGATACGAAAAGCAGATCTACACCACAAGACAGAGATGGAGCCTGTTTTTAGGAGCAGGATTGTATTTTGAACTGGCTCTGACTTCAGTTTTTAGATGAGCAGGTGTTCAGGGATAGAGCAGCTTTCGGAGCAGGTTCTGGTTCAGGATTCATACTGGTTGATCATTGGATTATCTGTGACGATCAGGAGCTGAGGTGCGAGACATTTGTCAATCAAAACAAACAAAAATGTAACATCTCTTGAATGAGATTGAATTTGTCAAATCACCACCAGACACAGAAGAAGTGAAATTTACGACGGAGACTTGAACGTCTCATGGCGAAGCACATTAGCTGTGTCCCAGATCCTGTAATCCTGTGTTCACACTGGAAGGTGTTGAGACTAAACCACCCTGTTGTCCCACAAATAAATACACAAAGTAAACAGATTAAAATTAACAGAAAACATCTGGAAAAACATTTTGCTTCCTGTTTGTGAAGTTTAATTGGCAGTGGCGTTTTATATTAAATCATTTCCTGTTTAGTATGTTCGTTTCTTGTATACTAACTGCAAAAACAGTATTCTAGTATATACTGTAAATACTTTGCATGTAGTATGGAGCTGGGACACAACTGATTTTGTACTATAGTGGAGAAGTTGGACATTTTTCCCACCGACTTCGAACATGTTGTTGTAGCATGTAGTGGCCAGTAGAAGAACATCAGTGTAAATATCCAGATGATGCTGCCGTGGGGTCTGTTTGGCCCTGAGTGTATATTTTTTACATGTGAAGTTTTAATGATTGTTGTGTGGAACAAAAACTTAAAAGACCAGAGTGAAAAACTGCTCGTCTCATTCCTTTGTTGTTGTTATTCTCCCAAAGAAAAAGCATGGACAGGTCCAGAAACGTTCATGAAACTTGAACCGTCACTGTGTAAAAACTATGAACAGGATTTTGAAATTGAACACAAACAAAAATGAAGGAAGCTTTTTGAACATTTTGACTTTTGAATGGAGTTTCTAACTGAATGTATGGAAGAGCAGACAGGGTTGAAAAATGCACGAAAAGTTGTGGAAAACTGGAGATTGAACAATCCACCCATTCATCTGAACGGGAAAAATGTCAGAAAAACGTTGAATATTTTGGAAAATATGGAATAAATCAAAAAACTGAATACATCCGATCATGTCCTGATTGAAATTAACATTTAAAAGTTTGAATGGAGTTTCTATGTTGAAGCGTCTAGAGGGAAAAACAGTGGAATAATAAAGAATATTTGTATTACTACTTTTATTTAAGTGAAGTATCTGAGTATCTTCCTCCAACAATAAAACTAAATAAATGAATAATTGTACTACTACAGCTGTTGCAGATGTCAGTTGCTCCTTCATCCATGTGCAGTATATGTCCCACAGTCCGTGAAGGCAGCAGGACGCGCGGAAGGAGAAACAATCACAGCTGAAAAACGTTGAATATAAGTATGAAATATATTGAATAAATTGAAGAACATATGGTGGGATTGAATTTGTAGCAATCCCACAAAATATTGCGAAACAGTTTATTATATAAAACAAGTTAATAATAATACAATTACGTTGTTTGGCTTTAGTGACAACACTGGTAATAATATACGTTTTTCTTTTTATTGAGATTATCAGACAGGAGCTGATTTAACCGTCGTTTTAATGTAGAACTTGTAAAACTCAATAAACCAATAAATAATGAACATTATAAGTTTTACAAAGGTAGCACTGATTTCATATTGGACAGCAAAGTTTTGCAGGATTCATGTGTTTTTATTTTATACATTTTCCTGATTATACCACATCATTTTATAATTATGATATATAATAAAATAATAATATAAAATAATATATATTTTTCAATTTGTAAGAGGGTGTTCTTACAGTGTGTGTAAGTGTTGTTGTAGAAGTCAGTTGCTACTTCATTCATGTGTGATATAAGTCCCACAGTACCCGAAGGCAGCATTAGCCTGGGAAATCCGCTAATGGGTTTATTATATCCCACGGACCTTGAAGGCAGCAGGACGCGCGGAAAAAGAAACAATCATGGCTGAGACGGTGAGTGACAGATCTGCTGCTTTTAGCCTGAAATCAAACACTTAACCGGGGAACGGTGTTTTAAAGAAGAAGAGTAACGATGTTGTAAAGAAAAGAGAAGCGAACGGTTCAGTCGTGAAGCGGCGGAAACACATTAAACCACCAACAGCGGAGATTAACTAACCGTTAGCATCAGTGTCGTCGGAGGTTAGCTACGTTTAATTTGATTTGATTTGACTTCTTCAAAATAAAAGCCTCGTGTTACCTCAGTGTCACCTGGTGGTTCTTTCGGTTTCACTTTTACTTTGAAGAAAAAATAACGATAGTGACTTTTAAACTTTAACCGATTTAACCACGTAAACAAATGTTAACACTGTTATTTGACTGTATGTGAACGAGCCACATTAAAAACCGTTAGTTAACTTAACGCTGATCAGTTCATTAAACATTCTGTATCGATCTGCCTCTGATGGAGGTTCAGTTCTCTCTAGAAACCAATTTAAAAGTCGTAAGTGTCATTTACAGTGGTATTTAATATGTGTCTCGTCCACTCGGAATGAACGAAATACTAACTAATACTAATACTGACCCAAAAAAATTAAGAATATGCTTTTTTTTCATCAATTCATCGTTTTTCTGCCACTAATCTGACGGACTATGAGACTCTGGGTCCCTGGGTAGAGACCAGTAACAGCCTCCCTCTGATACAGGACAAAAAACAACTTGATTTATAGATTTAAAAAGTTTTTTTTTTTTTTTTTTTAAAGTTAATTGTTTATTTTGTGTCAGTTCACTAGTTGTAGTTTTACATATTAAGATATTAATACCACAAACTACAGTCTGTAACTGATTATTATTTTACTTACTGATTACTTTGTCAATTATTTCTTGATTCATAGTAATTGTTTGATGGGAGCAGATTCTTCAATGTGAATATAGTGGTTATTTGTCTTTCAAACAAATTTAAGTCCAATCTTTAAATCAAAAGGGCCACTGATGCACCATGGGGGATGTAGTTTACGCAGGCAAAAGAATATATTGTCCAAACAAGACTTTTGTGTTTTCTTTTTGATTTATTCATACGAAACAAGCAGCAAGCCAAAGAACAGAGGGATCATGTTTCCTGCTCTGGCCCAGGTGCATGCTGGTCCTAAACCAGTCCTCAGTGTTACCCAAATATTAGTTAACCAAACTAACTACACTAAATAAGCAAATAATATAAAGAAACTAATGACGAAGAAAATATTATCAAAAAATAAAACATTAATTAAAGTAATCCAAACTCAAACAGATTAATAAATAATAGAAAACATATGTAAGTAAATGGCCCCTACAGTGAGGATTTGCTACTTTGCTCCTTTTTTCCTGTATTTTCTAATATTTCAAAACCTAAACTTCTGCATATTTACAGATTGTCACACACTGATGTTAACGCATCACCAGTCAGTGAAAATACATGTTGTGCAGCAGTTCAGCAGCTTCCCTCTGTGTGTCTCAGGTGTCTGACAGTGACGTGCAGCCTATGAAGCCGCCACCCAAACGCCGACGCATCCTCGACCCTTCAGCTATCGTCCCGGTGCCGGTCTACTCCAGCAAGGTAAACACGCAGCGCTCAGCTGACACAAGCCTTTCTGACAGTATGTCTTCACCTGAGTCACCTGACTGTTTTTACTTCTAGGTGAGCAGCAGTCTGCAGCTGAAGCCGATGGCTCCCGTGTTTACAGAGAAAGAAGATGAAGGTAAAAACTGAACTTGAACAGTGTTGTGTTTGTGGAGGAACAGAATGATTTTCCTGCAGTGAGGCTGGATGTTTCTCTTCTGTGTTGACCAGACGATGCTGCAGACGACAGTTTGTGGTCGCAGTTTTCATCTCGAGGAACGACGGCAGCCGTCGTCGCCCTCAGTGACTCAGAGGAAGACGAAGCAGAACACGTGGAGAACAAAGCAGAACACGACAAACTGTAGGTAGTGACACTCCAGAGAACAGATATTACATATTTCACCTGTTGAACCGATTTAGTCACTTGTCGATCTCTTAACCTTTAATTAATTAATATGAATGAGTTTATATGAATGTTTTCTCACCTCTGTCTGAATGTCAGAGAAACCATTCGCTGCCCGTCTCCTCCACCTCCCGAGAGTCCCGTCCAGAAACAGTCCAGACAGGTGAAAAAGAAGATCAGGTGAGTCTGGATTCTCAGTTCACTTCATTGTTTTGTACCAAACCAGCATTTATCAGTAGGAGAATGTAGGACCATCTTCAGATTATCTGGTGGATGTTAAAATATCTCACTTGGAAACTGACGAGTCTCATTAGAAGATGAAGTCGTGCGTGTGCTGATTAAAGCTGTTGTGACATCCTGTGACTGAGGGGAGGTGTTTCTGAAGAGGACAGCTGATAACAGTTTTGTCTCAGATTTAAACACTTCCTGTTTGTTCTTCCTCAGTGAGATCGACAGGAGGCTCCGGGCGGTGAACTCCCTCCTGTCTCCGGAGCATCAGAACAGGACCAGGTCCGGACGCCACCGAGGCCCCCCCTCTCCAACGCTTGAGGAGGAGCAGGACGATGATGTCATCATATTAACCCCTAACCCGGGCCCACAGAGTTCTCCGTACAGCTCCTCGGTCCGGGAGATCCCCCTGAAGATCCGCTGTCGGACAGACGTCCACAAGATCCCCGTGCTGTCTGTGCGTGGGCGGAGCAACATCAGACGAAAATGATGAAAACATGTTGTAGCACAAGTCGGTGTCAACTCTTTAACGTGTGGTTGGTATTTGTATGTTTTCAGTCAACGCCTTTAAGCGACGTGTTGGCTCAGCTGTCCGTCATCCTCAAGGTCCCGCCCCCTCGCCTCCTGCTGCTGAGGGAGGAAGTGGAGTTGCCGACAGACGCCACCGTCAGCGAGCTCGGCCTCGGCATCGCAGACATCATAGGTGAGTAATGTCACTGTCGTTTGTTTGTTTTTTTTAATGAACTTTATTAATCAATTGTTCGATGCAGCTTCAGTGTGACGTTCAGGTTCTGTCAGAAAACTCAGTTTTTAACAGTTTGTAGAGAAACTACAACAAGAAGTTCAATTAGTAAACAACTTTACATGAATTTGAAAAGCTTGTGAAAGATTTCATCAACTTCTTCAGCTTGGTAAAGTTTCTGTGTAGACCCTGAGACCTGTTGGACAGAGTAACATGCTGTTTACCGTTTTGTTTTGGGGGGTTTTTTGTCTTTTTTTGCAGAACTTAGGGCAAATTTCTCTTTTTTTAGCAGCTGGAACGAGGAAATGTTTTTTCCTTTTTGCTTAATAAATGACTTAATTAAACTCTTTCAGCTCTAAGAGGATTTAATATCATTAATAAGCTTCCTTTTGTTGTTTTGGTTCCGGTGTGATTAAAAGAGAATAAAATAGAATAAAAAGCCTTTATTATCATTGTACTGTGAAAAATTCAACAAAATCAGGAGAGCTACTCCTGGTTGGTGCATTAGTTAAAAACAATTAAAATAGATAGTTTCAACACACATTAATTAATACAATCCTAATATAAATAGATAAACAGATGCTGCAGATACGTGCATGCCGCCATCTTCCAAAAGCAACAGCTGTTTGGTTTTAGGAACAAAGATTAGTCTCCAATAGTTTTATCATTCATCTTCATCTTCAAAAGAAAACATTATCCTGATGATGATGATGATGATGATGATGATGATGATTGGACTGGGCTCAGTTGTAACCATAGTTGCAGTTTACTGTTCCACCACCAGAGGTCAGTAAAGTGTTAACAGTGACACAGTCCGCTGTCCTCTACAGCTGCAGCAGATCAGAGCTCCAGACTTTTCACAGTGGTTGCACTTCAAAGACATTCAGTACAAATACTGAATATGAAAATACTAAAATGAGCTCAGACCGTTTTCTCCTTTTTGTTGTGCAGAGTGCGTCGTCATGGCAGCGGAGGATAAAAGCGAAGCAGACGACGGCGGCAGCATCATCACTGTTCGACTGCAGAGCAAAGACCGAGACTCCTCACAGGAGTTTTCTCTGCACAGAGTTCGTAGCTCCTCCTCCTCTTCTCTCCATCACCAGCTTTGTGTTTATTTGTTTTCGCAGCAGGACTCAAACGCATCATGTCATCTGTTTGTCTCGTTTCAGGACGCTCCGCTTGGCTCCATCTTCTCCCAGTATCTGTCCAGGATGTCGCCCAGCGCTCAGAGAAAAGTCCGCTTCCACTTCGACGGCTCCAAGGTGGCGGACAGCCAGACGCCGGCTCAGCTGGACATGGAGGACGGAGACATTGTCGAAGTTTGGATTTAAGACTTTAAAGTTGTCTCATACCTTCTATTATGTGAAAAGCAAATGTAAAATCCTTGGTTCGGTTGTTCTTTAATATTATTTGTAAAATTCACTTTATTGTAAATGTTGAAATTACAAAGATACAACAATTCAGATTGAGGTGGGATTATATTATATATATTAAACAAACATTATTCAACAAACAACAGTAGACATAAACAACACTGTAAATCACTGGAATTAAAAACCTGTTTTAATGCTTTAATGGTTTTGACTTGTTACCTTTTTACATTGTCTTTTTTATTGTTATTGAAAATGGCCATAAGAGGTGTTGATGTTATTCTGTAAGAAAACTGAAGTAATATTAAAGCCTTCAGAGCTCAGAGCTGTGGAGTCATAGCAGCGTCATAAAAAATAATAAATCTGTAAAAGAAGAAAAATAAATGTGGCCATATAAAGAGGAATAAATAATTTGATTTAAACTGCTACCACATCCATGTTGTGCATGTGTCTCCCGGCCAAAGCCAGTTGATTGACAGCTCAGCCCTTTAAGGAATAGCAAAGAATAAGGAAAAATAAAGCAATAAATCATTTATATGCAAAAAATAAATATATTTTAAAATACAGATACATATGAACAAATGTGAAAATAAGTTGAAATGCTTATAATTATTCTTTTATATTTTGTTATTTTTCTATGTTTCTACATTTATTTTCTTATTCTCTTACAGCAGTATTTTTTTATGGCACTCTTATGACTCCGTCCCTCCTTTACTTTAGTAAAACTATCAATAATTCATGGTTAAAATATTCCATTACTAGTTTAACTCCTGCTGAAGTGCAGTTGTCTTCTCAGCAAATTATTATTCTGTATCAAAACAACACAACAAACAACATGGCTCCTTTTACAGATTCATGAATTACTGAATGTGTGGCCTGAACTTCATGAGTTTATGTGAATCATTTACAGAACATCAGTTAACTGCAATAATGAGCAACACCAATGATAAACACCCTGATACATGATTTTCAACTATAAAGTTATTTTTCACACAGATGTTTGTGTCATGAGTCGTTCATGTCCTCAGCTCTCGTTTCCTTCATGTCATTAAACAATTGATCATTAAATTAAAATACAAACGGCAGTAAAAAGCAAATTAAAAGTAAGATCTCACCAACAAATTCAACTTCCTTCCAGAGAAGCACTCTGACCTGTTTGAGTTGTTTCAGGTGGAATATTATTAACACATATATACATCCTCTGGATATATGAAGATATAAGTTTATGTATATATGTATATTTATGTATATGTACATATATAGAATAATATCTATGATGAATTTTCATATGGTGCAACGTGTTGCAACCGTATTTGTTATTGATATACTGTATATTTAATTTATATATACAAGTTTATTACAACAACATACATGTAAAAATTCTATATGCTTATATATGTCTACAACCTAAACATACTAACATAAACATACATATTATGCAATTATTCCAATTTCTAATACGTTTCATATATAATTTTACATTTGAGTTTTATTTTACATGTTTATATATTTATATATTTGTTTATATATTACAGTGTAGTAATACTTTTTCACCAATCGATAAATCGCCATGTGACTCAGATAATAAAGTCATGTGAGCTTCGTAGCGGAAGTTCGGAAGGATCTGTCATGGCGGCGGTAGAGAAGTGTCGTCAGTGAAGTGGATCTGTAGTAAACAGTTGTTTTTATCTGATGTAACCCGGCGCGCGGAGTTCACGGGGAGACGTTTATATTGTACACCGTCAGCATGGGCTCTGAATAACGTCTCACGGCTGAGAGAGACGAAGAGGAGATTTGGAGACAGAAGAAAGAAGCGTCAGCCCTGACTCATCCTCCCAGGTAAACAACACCAAACAACGGGCTAATGACGGCTGACTGTTAACGGTAACGAGTTTAACGTGACGCAACGTGACGCAGCTTGACGGACAGTAAAATGAAGGGATTTTGTTTTTTGTTTTCTCCTAAAGTCTCATCAAAACGAAGCAGTAAAGGTTTGATTAACTCTCTACGTTCCCGCTTGTACTTCGGTTAGCTAGAAAACCTGACGCCGAACTCCATTCAAAAGACTGCGAATTTAGCGTTGTGATTATCTCTAACGTCAGACGTCTTTATTTACCTCGAAGAGTTTTCCTCCAGACGATGTGTGTATCGTTAGCATACAGCAATCCAACTAGTGCCACTGTTATATCTCTCAGTGTATCGCTTTTAGCTTATTTCGCTGTACTTCCTTTTATCCTAGCAAGACGATTTACGTTAAATCGACAAGAGAAGTGCTGTAGATAACCTGTGGATGTTATATATCCAATTAAAGAAAATACTTTAAATTGGTGTAAAACTTTTGCCGAATTGATCAACCGACTCTGTAAATGTCACATCTCAGTCGTTTTAAAGTAACGTGTTAGTTGTAAAGCGGAGAACATAAAACTGACAGAATTTTGAATAGAGTCTGGAGTGACGTTCCCTCCATGTCAGTCATATTTCTTCTTAAATACTAAAATGATCTAACTTGTCTGACGAATTTAAGTCATACTTCAAACTAAAGTTACATTTGTTGCAAAGCAGGTCACATAAAATGGATAAAATTCTAAACGGAGTCTGAAGTGTCAGTTATTTGTTTTGAAATGTAACAATTTTGCTGTTATCAGCCCTTCAGTGTTTTATCTGTTTTATATCTAGTAACGTTCCTATGGAAGAGGTTTAGGGCCACATGTGAATTTTTTTTTTCAGAATTCTGAGGAAAAAGTCAGAATTCTAAAATTTTAAGATTTTTTTTTTTTTTTAGAATCTTTTTTTTGGGAATTTTTGAAAAAAATATTTCTTTTGAAGTCAGAATTATTAAAAAAAAAAAAAGAAAAGAAAAAGAATAATACACGCATTGGGCCTAATGTGATTCTTTTTTTTATTTTTTATTTTTTAGAATTTTTCAGAATTCTAAAATAAAAATAAATTCACATGTGGCCACAATTGTCTTCCATACCTTTTGTTGTAAAAAGGTACAAAATAACATCTGGATTCTGAATGGAGTTTGGTGTGGTGTCCTAACACAGACTAACTGTTGGTATTATTAATAGCGGCTTCTTATTTACTGATACTGGACAGTTGAAATGTGAGTGTTGCGCAGCAGAACAGCGCCGGTGTGGGATCAGTGAGGGTCCGATCATATGCAGACAGCCCAACCCCCCCCCCTCTCTTATCATTGACTTTTGTTTGTAGATGGGCCAAGGTTCAAGACAGCTGAGTGACCTCTCTCTATTGCATTTCAACAGTGCCATTGTCTGTCTTTTCTCCCTCATGATTGGCCATTAATCTAATATAATCATTTACTGTCTCTGTAATGTAATTGCAAGATTAAAAAAAAACATTTCAGGAGATGATGTAATAAGTTACAGTGGATCCTAATCTGCCACAGACTGAGTTTTTCATTATTTAACAGTATGTTCTTGATTCATACATGAATTTACCTTTATGAAACACGTTCTTTTCAATGATACGGTAAATATATTAACATAAATATCAATTTATTCTTGTGTTGTTATCATAACACCAGTATTGTCCTTATAACCAACCAAATATACTTATTAAATATTATTATTATATTTGGTCCATAAATAGTAAGATGTCAGATGTCTTGTTTTGTCTGACCAACACAGGTCGACACAGTGAATACATTCCAGTAATTGATATAAATATTGTCCTCTTGCAGCTATTAGCAGTCAGTTGATCATATGATTTGTCAGATTGACAGAGAATTAAATGGTAACAACAATAACCAAAAATACCAAATAATTCCATGGTTACAGTTTCTCTAATGTAAAGGTTTTCTGCTTTTTTTCCTTATATAATTGAAAATTAAAATATCACCACTGTGGAGTCTTAGTAAAACTAGTAAAACTTTTAGTGACATTTTTCAACATTTTATGACATTGTATTGATCAATTGATTAATTTAGCATCTAATAGGCTGATAAATTGAAAATAGTCGTGTCCTAAAAGTTTTATATATAAAAAGTTATAAAAAGTTGAATCTTACTAAGTAGAGCTGCACGACATGCAAGAAAAATCATCTTGCGATTATTTTGGCAGATATTGCAGTCTCAGTTGGAATGATTGTTTTTGATTCATTCTCACTAAAGAAAATATAAAATGGTGATGATATTGTAGGGAACAACATTAACTTTGATTAAAGCTGTAGAAGAAGAACACATGTATGTGTCTGTAGAGGAGGCTCTTTGCTTTGAGTGGGTGAAGACTGATGAGACGAGGGTTCATCACATCAGCAAATCATGAGTGTGGACAGAAATCCCTCCTGCATGGAGGCACATGTTGTGGAGACATGAGACTGTAGTTTCACTAAGTCATGTGCACCGTGGCTTCTCCTTTCTCGGCCTCTTCCTCTTCTCAGACTCAGGTTCATCAGGTTTCATGATTCCCTCCCACAGACTGTCGACTTGTTTCCAAGGTTATCTGAGGTAGAGTCGGTGGTAGAGAGAAAATCAGCAACTGAGATATTCATCTTCTACAATTCAAATTAGACTCTAATGTTCAAAATCAATGAAATGGCAGTTTTTATTTTTGTATCATTAGTAACAACAGCTGTGTAATTTCTTACAGGAATAATGGAGTTATAAGTGTGGTTAGTTGTGTGGTTAGTTGTAGACATCAAACCTCAGTCTGGTTTCACTGACTCCAGGTCTGATAACTCCTGACTCCAGTTAGTTGATGTCATTAGTCGAGAGGTTCACAGTCTGTTTCCAGCTTCACTCTGAAGGTTTGATGTTTTCAACACGGACAAGAACAACAATGATGTTTGTGTTTATTATTTTTAATGGATTGTGTTTGTTCATTATTATGACTCAGATCATGTTTTACATAAATTCAAATAATTCCAAAGGCTTCTCTCTTTCCTGCTGCTGTGATCAAGTGACCTGCTGTGTTCAGGTGACCTTCTGTGTTCAGGTGACCTGCTGTGGTCAGGTGACCTGCTGTGTTCAGGTGACCTGCTGTGTTCAGGTGACCTGCTGTGGTCAGGTGACCTGCTGTGGTCAGGTGACCTGCTGTGTTCAGGTGACCTGCTGTGGTCAGGTGACCTGCTGTGGTCAGGTGACCTGCCGTGTTCAGGCTCTAGTGAAGAGAAATGTAGTAACTGAACATGGTTCACTTTTCTCCACATTATAAAGGAGTAATTCACAGTAACAGATGAGTTTGTTTCTCATAATGTTCAGACCAGTTGCCTGTAAATAAAGTGTTGCCATGGTTTCTCCTCACACCTTAATGCTCTTTGCTGTTTCTAGTGATGCTTCTGATGATTCACCAGTTTCCTGCTAGTTGGTTTCATATGTTAATAATATCTCGAGCTGAAACAGTTGGTCAGTTAATTGATAACTTCAAAGACAGAATGTTATTTTTGCAACTCTTTGAGTCATTGTGAGTCATGATTTCAGTTTGAGGCGACGTCTTCAAACGTCTCGTTTTGTCGACCAACAGTCCAAAATAAAAACATCTGCAATCTAAGACGATGTAAAACTTCAGACTGAACAAAAAGCAAACACACACTGTTTAGAAACAATCGATTAATCAATTATCAAAATACATGCTAATTAATCATCTTATCAATCAATTAATCAACTGTTTCTTTTGTCTCTTTGAAGTCACATGTAAAAAGCCCGTTAGTATATAATGATGATGATGATGATAATGGTGATGATGATGGACTAATGACCCCTATCTCCCTCCTCAGCGGCGGCCATGTCTCTGGGCGAGCCCACGTCGGACTCGGCGCCTTTCTTCTCTGATGACAGCGAGGCGGAGGGATCGGAGGAGCAGGGCGGGGCGGCGGCGGCTCAGCGGCAGCAGGAGGAGTCGCCCAGCGGGGTGTCCAGAGTCCGAGCCCTGCTGACCGTCCTCATCCTCTGCTACATCAACCTGCTCAACTACATGGACAGGTTCACTGTGGCAGGTAGAGTAACTCACCTGCTGCCTCACCACGGCCAATCAGAAGCCTTTTCACTGATTAATTAGTGACTTTGAAAAGAGAAAGAAGCAAAGGTTTGTTCAAAAAAGTCACTAGATTCGTTTCTCGGTGCTTTAAAAAACAAAAAGAAAAGAAAAGGTCATTAAAGGTCAAGGCAGGAGGAGCAGATCCATCCAGTCATCACACCGCTAGAACCAATCCGATGGACCGCCGACCTGATTCGGTCACATACGGACACAGAAATAAATCCATAAATAAATGTAGAATTAAATAAATAAATTAGTAAATAAATAAATAAAATGTAGAAATACAAAAATAAACAAATCCATAAATAAATGAATATAGAAATGCATAAATAAATGTAGAAGTACACAAAATAAATAAATATATTAAAAAATGAAAAAATACAGAAATGGCAAATTTTTTTTATTGCCAAAATGTTTTTCTTTTGCATTTATTTATGAATTTAATTATTTATTTCAGCATTTATTTATTTATTTCCACTTATGTTACTTTTCGTCCTACATACTAAACAAGCTAACTTTAGCCTAAACAAGCTAACGTTAGCTTGTGTGTGGAGCGTTGCTACAACAGATATTAGCTGTCACAGTTCACTAACAGTAACATGTCAGGACATGAACATGTTGTCGCACTTATTAATCATTAATAATCATTTTGTATTGATTAACTGTTTTCTCACTGCAAAAACAAAATGCTATCACTGTTGCTAATCCAGCTGTTGTGTCTCCCTCCAGGTGTTCTCCCAGACATAGAGCATTATTTTGGGATTGATGATGGGAAGTCTGGTTTACTCCAAACAGGTAAGAAGATCTAATCAATAAATGAATGGCAGAACAAAGTGTGATGTTGGTCTGTGTAACGTGACTGTGGTCAGAGATGACACACATCCACCAAGGCTGTGTGACATATTTAAACTGTAGCTTGTTTCAGGTGTTTGTTCATGTTGACGGTTTTCCTCTTGGTTTCTGTCCAGTTTTTATCTGCAGCTACATGTTTCTGGCTCCGTTCTTTGGTTACCTGGGCGACAGGTACAACAGGAAGTACATCATGAGCTTTGGAATTGCATTCTGGTCCTTGGTGACACTCGCCAGCTCCTATACTCCAAGAGAAGTAAGAGTCACGTCACTTCCTGTTTACTCTCCTGTTGAACAGCTGATTGTCAGAGTGCTGGACCCGAGCCTCTGTTTGTCTTGCAGCACTTCTGGGCTCTGTTGTTGACTCGAGGCCTGGTCGGAGTCGGGGAGGCCAGTTACTCCACCATCGCCCCCACCATCATCGCTGACCTCTACGTCAAGGGGAAGAGGACGAACATGCTCTCCGTCTTTTACTTCGCCATCCCTGTGGGCAGGTAGGAGGAGACCCAGAGACACACCTGGATCATTTCATTTTGTAGTACTGTTAAAACAGAATCTAACACAATAAAAGACATGAACTACTTTTGATGATTTATTATATTTCCTTATTGAATCAATGTTTGCTGTATTTTATTTAGACAAAGTTGTGTTAAAGCTCCATATTTCACACTTTATTTTGAAGTGTTGATCCATACGAAGAGATATTTGTGGTTTTAAGAACCAAAAACAATCAGTGTAGTTTACATCTCCTCTCTCAGGCGTCTCTCTGCAGCTCTAGTAACAACAGCTCGTTTTAAGGCTCAGTTTTTGTTTTTTTGTTTTTTTTTTAAGGATTTTAATGGAAAATTATTAATATTTTTAAATTTCTGGATTTTTTAAAAAAACATTTATGAAATGTTTTTAAATTTAGGATTTATTTTAAAATGTTTTAGGAAATTTATATTAAAACGTGGAATTAAAAAAAAAATACTTTCTATGTTTGTTTTTTTGCCAAAATATTTTATAAAATTTAATATTTATAAGAAGCAGGCAGCAATTAGTGACAAATTATCTTAATAAAGTTTTAAATAAAAGTTTTTTTTTGTTTTTTGTTTTTTTTAGGTATAATTTTTTTTACATTGTTTTAGTGTTTTATTTAAAGTTTTTACATCCATAAGAAGAGATACTGCAGAGTTTTTACCAAGAACAGTGTTTCGTGAGCGGTGACTGCTTTGTTGTGACATCACAAAGTTCCAGAAGTCCTGACGGCTGGTTTTAAGGCTCAGTTTCTGAATACAGGCTGTGTGCATTTCTCTGTGGACTGAGGCTTTGATACTTTCACAGTATTAATATAGAAGCTAGAGCTGATCTATAATCACACTACACATGGACACAGACCTTTACACTGGAGGAGCTTTAAGAACCTTGGCTTCTTCTTTTCTTCATTCAAGTTAATAACTTAACTGTTAATAACATAATTTGTACCAAATTGTGTCGGCCATTCTTGGAAGTATTATAGTAACTTGCTGTGAATTTTTAGGAAATTATGTGGAAAATTTCCAACAAACAGCTGGAAAATCCAGAATCTGAAAAATAAAGTATCACCTTGTATATTTCTGAATGTAGGTCGTATTCTTGATGTTATTACCACACTTGAAATATCGTATTGGAACTAATATTGAAAAAAGATTCGAAACTTACATCAACGAATGCAGAAACAAAGCTCATCCAGTCTGTCCCTGCGGCTGAGTCTCAGGTTGTGAACATGAGACGTTTTGTCAGACATCTTGTTCAACCTCCTTGTCTTTGTCTCGTCTGGGTCTCAGCGGTCTCGGATACATCGTGGGCTCACAAGTCAGTAACATAGCGAAGGACTGGCACTGGGCTCTGCGGGTGAGTCTCTCAGCTCTGTTCAGGATCATAAATCATGTCGGGACTCTGTTGTACCTGTGCTGTCCCCTGACAGTTTTACCTGTCCTCCAGGTGACTCCAGCTCTGGGGCTCATCGCTGTGTTTCTGCTGCTGTTCGTGGTCCAGGAGCCTAAAAGAGGCGCCATCGAGGCTCGACCGGAGCATCACCTGCAGCAGACCAGCTGGCTCAAAGACCTGCAGGCGCTCGGCAAGAAGTAGGTCCAGCCTCTGTTGTAGTCAGTGATACTGGAGGCTGGAGAGCAGCTGGGGGAGAAAGCTCCAGGTTCAACACAGGACAGCTGGTGTTTGCTCATTTTATCAATAAGACTTTGATCAACACAGATTGTTCTTCGGGGAAAAAGCAAGGAGGGTAAACCAGGTCCGATACTGGAAATGCAAATTTATTTAGTAGTGAGGAGATAACCAAAGATACAATCAATGATTAGAGGAACTAAGAGAGGGAAGAGGGCAAATAATTCAATATAACAAGAAGAGTTGTTTTCAAACTGACTTTCTAAAGTAAAAATAAAATGGAATAAAACTTTCTATCTGCTCCGACACTAAAAACAAACGCCTCAGACAAACAGCAGCTCTGCCCCCAGTGCCACTAACGAAAGATCATTTCCTGCATGTTGTGTTGTTTGTGTATTTACAAAGCTCACATCAGACCAGGACTAACGACCGGCTCCCTGTTCCTCCGCTTCATATATTAAATATGTTGGTGTTTCTTGGTCATTTTAGATTTTTAATCTCAAACCTTTTCATTTCTGTTTGTGCCGGTTTTAATTGATTCTTTTCGTTGTGTTATTTATTAATTGTATTTATATGTTTGATTTAATTGATGTTTCTTTTTTAACGGGTTTTTTCATCTACTCGAAATCACTGTAAATAACCAGCTTCACACTGAATGATTTTCGAGTTTAAATTAAGACATGAGTCTAATACATGAGCGTGGCAGTAACCTGGTCTCTATATGTGTGTGTGTAATTTCTGAGCACCAGTCATTTCTCACCTTTGCAGTAAATGTCTTGTGTGAAACGGTCCAGATGTTAAACAGTGTGTGGCTCCGTCTCTAACCATCCTGTCCTGTGTGAGTCATAATGGAAATGCCAACGAGCCGTGGCTTCACCGCGCAGACGAGGCGGTTCAGTGTCGCAGGCCTCAGACAGTCAGACTCCTTTAGAGTTCCTCTGTTTTCATGAAGGTCGCAGCAGTAAAATAAATGCACTGACTGCAAACACTCCTTCTGTGATAGTTTGCTGTGAGATGAGAGTGGAGCTGCTGCTCACCTGTGTGTTGTGGTTTGTTTCTCTTGCAGCTACAGCTTCGTGTTGTCCACCTTCGGCTTCACGGCGGTGGCGTTCGTCACCGGCTCTCTGGCTCTCTGGGCTCCGACCTTCCTGCTGAGGGCAGCCATCTTCTCTGGGGAGAAAGCCCCCTGTGTGGAGGGCCACTGCAGCTCCTCAGAAAGGTGACCAACACGCGGATCGTCCGCCGGGTCGGATCACGGCCGCACCGTGAAACCTGATCACTGACTCTGTTGTGGTTGTTTCTCCCCTGACAGTCTGATCTTCGGGGTCATCACCTGCGTCACAGGTGTGCTGGGCGTGGCCAGCGGCGTGCAGGCAAGTCGGCAGCTGAGGACGAGGACGCCCCGAGCCGATCCTCTGGTCTGCGCCGCCGGTCTGCTCCTCTCGGCGCCCTTCCTCTACCTGGCCATCGTCTTCGCTGAGGCCAGCACCATCGCCACATACGTGAGTCCCCGCCCTCAGCTTCAGCTTCACATGGAGCTTTTCAGCAGATGAACCCTCCCTCCTCATAAAGTCTGTGACTTGTTATTAAGCTGTGAAGGAAAGTCCACGGCTTTAAAGGTCCCACATTTTCCTCATAATCTCCTAATAATCAGCAGGTAATTAGCTGTAAATGACTGTGATATTCCCACGAAAGAAACCAACACAACTTGGTGCTAATTATGAAGGAAATGGGGAAAAACGTTAGTTGCTATTTTTCACATATATTTTTTTCTTAAACATTCAAATAAAGCGATCATGTACTTAACTGTGGCAACTAACACAACTAACTATTTCCCTCATAATTAACACCAAATTGAGTTGGTTTCTTTCTTGGAAATATTATAGTAATTTACAGCTGAACCATTAAAGAATTTATGGGGAAGTTTCCAGGAAATTAGCTGGAAAATACTTGTTTTTTTCAATGAAGAAAGAAGCAAAACTTCTCATACGTTAACTGTCTTAAAGGTCCCATATATTATAAAAATTTAAATCCTGAAAGAAAATCAGAAATGTTATAAGAAGCAGGCAGCAATCAGTGAAAGATATATTATAAAAATGTCTTTAATATAAATGTTCTAAACCATTTAAAAATAAATCCTTAATTTGAAGTAAAATATATTATTATATATCTATTAAACATTTTCCATTAAAATACTAATAAAAAAGCAGAAACTGAGCCTTAAAACCAGCCGTCAGGACTTCTGGAACTTTGTGATGTCACAACAAAGCAGTCACCAAGCCCCGCCCACCTGGACCCACCATCCAAACCTTGCAGGATTTGGTTTCTCTGAGTGTTTTTACCTGAAATCTGCTATATTTTTATTGGATCACTCAGAAAACAGTCAGCCAATCAGAAGAGAGGCTCAGAGCCTCCTATCTTCTGATTGGCTGCCTAAAACACAGGAAAAGTGTAAGATGTGGGACCTTTTTTTTTTTTTTTTAAAGCTGCAGTCTAGGAGCGGCCACTAGGAGGCAGGGCTACAGACACACAGCCATCATATATCATCACCTTATAAAGCTCACACACACACACACACACAGAGCAACATTAGCGCTGTTAGCTGTTAGCTCTGTGCTGAGCTGTAAGTGTGACGTGTCTTCTGCCTCTTCCTCCAGGTCTTCATCTTCCTGGGAGAGACCTTCCTGTCCATGAACTGGGCCATCGTGGCTGATATTCTCCTGGTGAGGAGCCCGAGCCTAGTTTAGAACTAGTTTAGAACTAGTTTAGAACTAGTTTATTAATTACTTGTTAACACTTTATAAATCAGTTATAAGCTGTAAAAACATATTAGATAAAAATGGTAATATATTATAACTGGTAAAAGGGAGCTTTATTGTAGAGTGTGAAACATCATTAATGATCGTTATTATTATTTTTAACTATTATTATCACTATTATTAGTATTATCTAGTAACTCATTAATAAACTGTGATGTTTACAATAAGGTTCCTTTAACCAGTTATAAATGTTAGTAACTCGTTAGTCAGATTAATGAGTAGGAAGCATTAACTTGATCTTGCCAAATAGTGAGTCTGAATCAATGTATGAAAACTGTTATAACTTTTTATTAACTGTTTATTTATGATTTTTAAAGCGTTAAAACCTAATTAATAACCTCGTTATGAACCATTTATTTACAAGTAGATACCACTTAAACCATTTAAAGACAGATAGATACTTTATTTATCCCCGAGGGGAAATTCATGGTTAGTTAGTTCATTAAATGCTGGTTTAGGTAACTGTAACTAACTGTAACTAACTGTAACTAACTGTAACTAACTTTGCTTGTTTTCTCAGTACGTGGTCGTTCCCACTCGTCGCTCCACGGCCGAGGCTCTGCAGATCGTCATCTCACATCTACTGGGAGACGCTGGAAGCCCCTACATGATAGGAGTGGTACGTAACTGCACACACACACACACACACACACACACACACACACACACACACACACACTAATATATTGTATTTATATATAATGATTATTTGGTGACCAGCGTGTTTATACTAAAAGAAAACAAATCCAAACTAAATATTAGTCACATATTTCTCTAGAACATTATTCATGTCTTTATGAACATGTTCCATGTTTCATTCGACACATTTCAACTTGTGTCTCAATGTTTTTGATCCAATAAAGAGATTTGGGGAAAAAACAAATAAAATATCCGAAGTAGTTGATAAATAGTTGATGAAGCTCATCATCGTGAAAACGAATACATTTCTCTTTTGGTGTGAGATTTTCTTTATTAAAGAAGAACAGCAGATATATAAACTGTACTAACGTCTTACAGTAACGTGATGAAACAAAGTAGGAAGGTGGTAGAGTGTAATATTTACTGTGTGACCTCAATGAAGAAATGAAAGTACTTGTATGTGTTCAGTGATTTTATGAAGCAGGTTACATTGTGTTTTCTGCAGTAGATCTCCAGCCGGTTTGTTAGATGAGACACTGAAGACGAGGATCAGAGAAACCTGCGTTCTCTTTTATAAAGCTTTTAATTTAAGTATGAATTTACAGAGACCCGAGAAAGAGAAAGTAACAGAGCAGCTGGATGAGAGGAGACACGTCCTCGTATTAAAATGAATTCAATACAAAGTTCAGCTGAAACTGAAAGTAACAGGAAGCGAGCGGCACGTCTGAAGCTGCGTTCATCAACCAGAGTGTGGAAGCGACAAGCAGCAGCTCTGCAGACGCTGTGGTGCTGAGATGAGATTCCAACACTTCACTTTTACAGACCAAACAAACGAGATGCAGCTTGTTAATTAGTGAAAATCAGAGGAGAAAAAGACTGAACGAGTCACTGCGACCTAAACCACCATGTAAAATTGGCGAAATAACTTTCATTGGATGCAACATTAGTGCGGGATGAGACATTAAACGTTTAAAACGGTTTTACAGGAAGAGGAAGTAAATATCTTTTAACATGTATTTGAGATAAATGAACAATTAACACTGAGACACTGATTACAACTGTAAACTGTTGTTTTTAAAAATGCTGGAAAGTAGACTTGGTTCTCTTTGGACAGAGCCAGGCTAGCAGTTTCCCTCTGTTTCCAGTCTTTATGCTAAGCTAAGCTAACTAGCTGCTGTAGCTTCATTTCTACTGCGCAGACTTCTGTCAGCAACAAAGAGGACGAGACACTTTTAAAATGTTGAACTTTTCCTTGTTGTGGAGAATGTTTGGCTGCAACTAGCAGTTATTTTCGTATTGATCAATCTACTGATTCATTTTATTGATTAGTTGATTATAAATTGTCAGATAATAGTAAATAATGTAGCACAGAACAGAGAGATTTATTCAAGCAACAGGCCAAAGTCCAGAGAAGGATCAAACCCTCATCAGGAGGGAAATGAACCTGTGGATGTTTGGAGACTAAACCAATTCATTTATTATCAGTTATTGATCATGTATCGACTGATCAGCAGCTCTACACTCGCTCAGGCTCTGAACGTGCCAGTAAAAACATCTGGCTCTGCAGAAGAAGGTGAATGTCACGTGTTTCAGCAGGTGAAATTAAATCCCCTCCCCCTCCTCCTCCTGCTCCTCCTCCTGCTCCTGCTCCTCCCCCTCCCCCTCCTGCTCCTCCTCCTCCTCCTCTTCCTCCTCCTGCTCCTCCTCCCCCTCCCCCTCCTCCTCCTCCTCCTCCTCCTGCTCCTCCTCCTCTCTCAGGTCTCAGACTCTCTGAGGAGGACGGACTCGTTCCTCTGGCAGTTTCGGTCTCTGCAGCTCTCTCTGCTGCTCTGCTCCTTTGTGGCGGTGGTGGGCGGGGCTTTCTTCCTCGCCACCGCCCTCTTCATCGAGACAGACCGACACCGGGCCGAGAACTACGTCCCCACAGGTGAGACGTCATGTGTCATTTACATGTCTGTCCCTCTCCTGTTCCCTTGGTTTCACGTGTTTGTGATAAACAGATGGTTAACTCTCCTCTGGTTTCTCTCTGACAGACGACGAGCCGATCGTCGTCCCAAAGAGCGGCCGCTCCACCCGGGTCCCGGTGTCCAGCGTCCTGATCTGACCTCACCAACCTGACGGGGGTTTTCCCGTGTTCAGCCTGGTCCTTCACACGTTTGTGGTTATTTTATTTAATGTTTTTTAGGACTGCGAACACCGATCGGACTGTCTGCCATGCAGAAACATTTTTGGACGAGTTTATTTTTAAATGTTTTGTCTACGTGACTTTTTTTATAACTTCCGCGGCGTCGCTGCAGGAGCTCGACACCTGGTCCGTCGGGGACGGGACGTTGAAGACGAGCGGCAGAGACTCCGAGGAGACGCAGCAGCTGCTCTGTTTTACATTTAATGGGACACTGAGGAGCGACTGACCCGACGGCCTGTCAACATCAGTCTGAAACACGATACGATCCTCAGAGTGACCACGACCACAGCACCGGAGCTTCATGAGTCTGTTTTCATATGTTTGTACATGTCGCAGCGAGTTTTAATATTAACACTAACTTCTTACGCTTCAGGTCGTCAGAAGAATCTTAAACCTCCGGCTCTTTATTCAGTTACTCATCTTTTACAAGGATTACTCCTGATTTTAATCCTCATTTAAAATGTTCCCCTTTTATTTTAAGGAGCAACTCTGGTTTTCTTTGTGTCATGTTGGAGCTCAGTCCGGCTCAGTCCGGCTCAGTCCGGCTCAGCCAGGCTCAGCCCGGTTAAGTCCGGTTCAGACCGGTTCAGCCCGGTTCAGTCCGGTTCAGTCCGGTTCAGCCCGGCTCAGTCCGGCTCAGTCCGGTTCAGTCCGGCTCAGCCCGGCTCAGTCCAGGTGGACGGGGGGCAGTGTGTCTGTGGGGCAGGTGGAGCTCAGGCTGCAGAAACATCATGTAAACAAAAAAAAAAAGCTTTTAAATGAATGTTAATGATGAAAGTCGTTTGTTAACCTCAAATTATTTTAGCAAAATCTTTTTTTGTGACTATTAAACGAGAATGAACTTGTCAGACGTGTGTGTGTGTTTGTGTTTGTGTCTGCAGGTGATGAAGTGTGTGTCATTAACGAGGAGAAAAACTGTTTTTACAGAAGCAAAAGTAACAGGAGGCATCAGACCTGTGAGTGTAGCCCCAGAACCAGAACCAGAACCAGACCCAGACCCAGACCCAGAACCAGACCCAGACCCAGACCCAGTCTCTGTCTGAGTCTGTGTGTGTACAGCCTCTTTGTCCTGATGAGGGATGTTCACATACAACATATTGAATATTTCTATAATTGATTAATCTGCTGATTGATTTCTTGATGATTAATCAGTGAATCATTTCATTTTGCAGATGAAATCCCAGAGAATAGTGAAAATGATCCACAGCTCAGTTTGATGTTTTCAGTTTATTTTCACATGTGAAGACGAAGCATCAGATCCTGACATTTGAGAAAGTGGAAGATGTTTATTATTAGTAATTAATCAATTATTATAAAAGCTGCGGATTGATTTTGTGTCGATCGTCTAATCGTTGCAGCTCCACTTTGTTTTCTTGCACTTTTTTACCATCTCAGTTTGAAGTTCGACTTTAGTGTGAACACGGAGCCTCCAGAGAGATGGAGCTTATTGATTATTGATCAACAGAACAATAATAATGATTCATTAATCTCCCCCCAGGAGGTTAATCTGTCCCACCAACAGATGTCATGTTAGAGAGAGCTAAGGTTCTATGGAAGACCACAAGTGTCACACATAATGTCACAAGTAATCAATAGATAAATAAATAATTGTATGATTTAAAAAAATAAACATTAATAATTTGGTTTACAAATCAATGACCTATAAAAAGAATCCATCAATAAATAATTCAAATTGAGAGATATTTACAAAAACAACATAAAACAGTCAATTGTTGATCATTTAAAAATACATTAATTAATTCACAAATAAATAATGGAATTTAAAATCTATTTAAAATCCACTTTTAAAAGAGAAATAAACAGCTGGAGTCACAAACTCAATTAAGAAAACATCTTAATTTTAGGTGTTTTTAAAATTTCCTTTTCCGTTTGTATTTCCGTTTCCCTGCTGCTTTTCCTTTTCCTGTCAGCTGTTCCGTTTCTTTGGTCATTTCGCCTTTAAATGAAACTCAATAAAAAGAGATTTATTTAAAGAGTGGAACTTTTCACTGCAGCGACAGATCAGATGATAAACATGTTTACCTGCAGCAACAAATCAAAAGTCTCAAGTGTTTTCCAGCCTTCTCTCAGCAGGTGTCCCCTCCCTCATTCATGGTGGGGGGTGGGGGTGGGGGGGTTCTCTGATCTGCCCCCCCCCCCCGCTTTCTGAAGCTTCTCTCAACAGGAGGAGAAAAGAGGCCAAACGAGGACAGAGGAGGAGAGGAGAGGAGGACTCGGTGTGGTTTCCTGTTTGTAGGTGGGAGGATGTTGAGACGGTTGCAGCAGCGTTCACACACTCTGAGGTGTCACAGTCAACGTCTCCTGATTGGTTCAAGGTGTTTGTGTGAAACATTCTGTGAAGTGCAGCCTTCTTCTTCTTCTCTTGTTTCCACCACGGGTTGCAGTTTTGCAGATGAGCGAGGGCAGTTTGATCAACCCACACACACAGATGTGAACCTGCAGGGTGGCTGGTTGGTTAGTGAGTCACCTGGTTAGAGAGAAGTTCCTCACACTCTCATTCGCTGTGATCTTCAGCTCAGGGTTCACAACCAAGTGCTTCTTTTCTGTGTTTAGTGACGTTTTGGAGGCAGCAGCTCGTGACCTGAGCTGCAGGTCCGTCGTCACCTTCCTCATACGAAGCTCTGAGGAAGAAGATCACAGGATCTGTGGCGGGAGACGAAGCTCAGGAGGTGATTGGGTTCAGCGACAGCAGAGGAGGAGAGTCAGTGACAGAGGGGGGAGGGGGAGAGAGACAAGTAGGTCTGTGAAGGTGCAGATCAGCTCATCAGGGAGGGAAGAGTGTCGAGGTAGAGCGTAAGAAGAAGGAGCAGAGAAGTCTTCAAACATGGCGGATGTTTGGTTACATTAGTCGCCTCATGTGGACCAGAGACCAGCCACAGGCCCCAGAACTTCACCGATCCTCCGTCCTCCATCCAAGCGTCTCTCCAGTCAGCGTGTGTCCTCAGGTGTAGGTGAGTTCTCCTTCTTCTTATCTGTTCAGGTGTAAAAGCGTGAAGCAGGAACCTCAGACTCTTCCCAGCATGCACATGGAGACCGTGCAGGAGCTTAGACCTGCACGGTCTAAGGAGCCAAAAGCAGGACTGGCCTCATGTTGGTAGTTTGAGGCGTGGTGCGGTGCTACAGGCCAGAAACTCCTCACTCACTCTTCCAGCATCACACACATGATGAGTGATTTTCCAGGTTCAACTTTTACTCAAAAATACTCCTCAACATGCGTCCAGACGGATTTAGGCCTCGACTGAAGAGGAAAAGAAAACTCAGATTTCCCAGAGTTGTGTAACTTTCTCTCTGATCCACTGAGACTGAGACTCCAGTGAAAAATCTAAAGTCTGAAAAATGAGAAGAGAGGGACGTTGCAAAAACAGCAGTGGTGATTTACGCTGTTAGAATGAATTTCGAGAGAATCTAGAAAAGGAAATGCAAATGAATGTCAGTGAAACTGTGGATGAGAGCAGGTGGGTGGAGACCCTGTTTCTCTGGAGCAGCATGTGCAGCTTGATCAGCTCCACCTCGTACAAACTGTTTCTAAACCTCCATCCAGTGGCAGCCTGTTGGAGAAACTGGAGGATGCCCTGGTTGCCCTGGTGGTCTCGGTTCGACCTTCATACCTCAACAACCCTGTTTCACATCCGGCCAGGAACCATCATCGTTCCTCATCCGTCTCCCCTCATCCCCCCTCGCCTTCCCTCTTCTCCCTCGTCTCCCCTCGCCTCCCTCGCCTCCCCTCGTCTCCCCTCGCCTCCCCTCGCCTCCCCTCGTCTCCCCTCGTCTCCCCTCGCCTCCCCTTGCCTCCCCTCGCCTCCCCTCGCCTCCCCTCTGTCTAATGAAGCAGTGAAATGTCCAGAGACTGACTACTGAGAAAATAAATAGGTGCTGCAAAGTAACTAAGTACATTTACTCGAGTACTGTACTTGAGTACAGGGTTGAGGTTCGCTCTGCGACCTACATTTCCCTGCTCTACATCCACCTGACAGCTGCAGTCAGTTTAGATCAATGAGATTTTTAGGTAGAAAACGTGTGAGGAGCTTTTAACATCTGATGTTTGACATAAAACCAACAGTAAATATGAACAGAGCTGAAGTTATTGTTGATTCATCTGTAAGGAATCAGTTGGAAACTACTTTGATCATAATTTAATAAAGTTTTTCATGTAAAAATATTATTGACTAACTAACTAGTAGCAGCAGTACTAGTATTAGTGATATTATACTGCATAATGAGAACCGTAAATATATTTTCATGTATTTTTCAATGTAGTATTTTTACTTCTAACAGGGTATTTCTACTCTGTGGTACTGATACTTTTACTAAAACATCTCTTTCATCACTGCCTTTAATTCTTGCTTCTATAATAATGTGTTTTAAAGAAGTAGTCTGACAGTTTAGGAAACAAGTGAGACGTTCAGATTGACACCACTCTCATGTCTGCACAGTAAATATGAATCTACATCCAGCAGATGGTTAGCTTAGCTTAGCTTAAAGACTGGGAACAGAGGGAAACTGCTAGCCTGGCTCTGCCTTAAAGGAATAAAATCCACCAACCAGCTCCTGTAAAGCTCAATGATTAACATGATATATCTTTATTTAATCTGTAAAAACCACGATTCACACTTCTATGGAGGTTATCACATTATATTATATTACATTTTCTGACAGATGTTTTTGTCCAACAAGTTCTTTCAAACCACAGAGGAAAGAAATATCATGTTTCCCTCTAAAACTAAAGATTAAAGCAGGTTCATGTTCACTGTCACAGTTCAGGTTTTATTTCTCGGTTTGTAGCTGCAACTTCCTGGAGTCAGAAAACCAGCAGAGACTCCAGGAAGTTACTGACTGTTTTAAAGCTGTTATCACAAAGATAACAGTCGTCCTGTCTCAGTATGTTGCTGCTGTTTGTGTCAAACACTCAGTCACAGTTTCAGTCTCACAGTGGAAACAGATTGACTTCTGTAACTTGGTACAGATTTGAAGTGTTTGTACGTGAAGTAACATATTTCTGTACTTCAGGAGTTTAATGCAGTATTTTTACATCTGAATACTGATCTCAAATCAGACTTTAAATGATCATTTTGTTCATTTAACTCTGACCTTCTTAACTGGAATATTTCTGGTTCTACTACTTTACACTTGTCTCCTCTACATTTGTCCCACAGCTGTAGAAACCTGTAGATTTAAAATACAAAACTAATAATAATCTGATAAAACATGGAGTCATATTATAGATAAATTACTCAGCAGTTAAATCCAAGGGTAAAACTCCACTGAGATATTAATGCATCAGCATCAGTGTCAGTTTTCTGCAGGAGTATTTCACTTTAAAGGAGCTATTTGTAAGTTTTGCTACTGCTACATAGCTAAAGTTAGCATTAACAGCTGTTTAATTATCAGTCTAGAAGAATTGTTGTGAGCAAACTTCACCAACAGCTGTCTCCTGAGGTGGAAACAAACACCAATGTTAACTATTGCCTCTATCATGTCTTTTCTTCTGCTGAAGTTAGCATGCTAACCAGCTAGCTCCGATCCAGATGAACCATCTTGTCACTTTCCGATACCGAGTCACTGTAGCGTCCAGTCTGCCCTGAAGAAGTAACTGCTAAGAGGACGTATTATAACCTTTTGTATTGTAAACATAACGATGGCTGAAGCTCTTGGCAAGACTGGCACATGAACAGCTGCTAATGCAAACATTAGCTATGTAGCAATATCAAAACTTACAAGTAGCTCCTTTAGTACTTTAGCTTATTTAGCTGATGATACTGAAGCAGGACTGGAGTATTTTCCTGACTTTAAACAATGATTTTGTTCATTTTGAACATTTTGTTTTCAAAGATAAGATGATTAAAGGTTTTTAAAGTTTAAAGTTTTTTTTTGATTAAATGTAAAGTCGATGCTCCTTGCTTCTGATTCTTCACTGATTTTATCACAGCTGTATATGAAGGTCAGCAGAGTCATTCACTGCTTGATTAAAACTACTTGATACTTGATATCTGCCTCTTCCTGTCACACATCCTTTCTATTGGCCGGCTGCTGTCGCTTAAAACCTTGAGCTCAAAAATGGAGCCAGACCTCAGAAGATGGCCGCCTCTCACACTGTAGTGTGGAGAGAAGAGCTGATGTTGATGCCTGTGAGGAGGATGAGATGTAGAGATGTAGACTGTACCAGTCAGTGGCACCACGTGTGAAATGGTTTTCCTTCCTGTGTGACTCACCTCTGTGATCAGGAGGCAGATTATCATCATCGAGCTTCTTCTGACGCCTCAGGAAAAAGTCAAACCACCAACTATTTAAGAAAATGGAGCAGAGCAGCTTTTTTTTTTTTTTAAAAAACTTCCTCCTGTTTGTCACCTCATGTGAGAAAATAGATTGATTCAGTCTTTTCTATTAAAAATGTACCAACACTCACAAAGATTTAAAGCTCCTCCAGTGTAAAGGTCTGTGTCCATGTGTAGTGTGATTATAGATCAGCTCTAGCTTCTATATTAATACTGTGAAAGTATCAAAGCCTCAGTCCACAGAGAAATGCACACAGCCTGTATTCAGAAACTGAGCCTTAAAACCAGCCGTCAGGACTTCTGGAACTTTGTGATGTCACAACAAAGCAGTCACCAAGCCCCGCCCACCTGGACCCACCATCCAAACCTTGCAGGATTTGGTTTCTCTGAGTGTTTTTACCTGAAATCTGCTGTATTTTTATTGTAAAAAACAGCCAATCAGAAGAGAGGCCCAGAGCTTCCTCTCTTCTGATTGGCTCACCGACCTGTTGTTACTAGAGCTCCAGAGAGAAGCCTGAGAGAGGAGATGTAAAACTACACTGAGATGGTTTTTATATCTTCTGATGGATCAACACTTCAAATAAAACACAGAAGAAGAAGAAAATATGGAGCTTTAATAAATAAAATTAAATAAAACAAAATAAAAAAATAAAATAAAAATGTCACTGCACCCAAATAATAATTTAGTTTTTGACATTAAAGATAAATGACATTTATAAAATTCAGTGTCATTGTTTTTGTGGACGGTTCACATCCACAGCGTCAGCAGTTTTCACTGGAACTTCTTTCTTCTGAAGAAATAGTCCCTGTGAAAGGTGTCGACTCCCTTCCCCTCCTGTTTACGCCCTCCAGTAAAATCTGCAGACTCACACACTTTCCATCCAAACTACGACTTCTCGTCACTTGAATAAACGTTTCAGTGTCTGAGCAGAAACTTCGTCCTTGTCTCATAAACAGAGAGAAGATGAAACCTTCAGACCACAGAGGTTTCTCAGTTTGATGTCTCATCCGACTCATTTCATGTCAGAGTCTCGAACCTGATGCAGCACGACCCTCGTCACATGATTCCAGCACTGAGTTTAAATGTCGTGGAAATCTGAACTGTTTTTAAAGTGAGCGGATCATTGGTGGAAGTTTCCAGTCGTTCACTTCTGAAGCAGGAAAACCACAAAGTGAAAAACATCTGATTGGAGTTTTTATTGTGATTTCACATCATGAAAATCTTCTGGTTTTAAAAGTGTGTCAGTGAAAGCAGGATAAATATATTTAAAGTAAGAAAACACCCCTGTGACTGTTCTATGTTATAATTATTGTAATTACTGATGCATTCATGTGTCAGCAGGATTTTACAGGTGTAGCTATAACTCTGTTGGTCTCTATTGGACTTTGTTGGACTCTGCTGGACTCTGTTGGACTCTGTTGGTCTCTGTTGGTCTCTGTTGGTCTCTGTTGGACTCTGCTGGTCTCTGTTGGACTCTGTTGGACTCTGTTGGTCTCTGTTGGACTCTGTTGGTCTCTGTTGGACTCTGTTGGTCTCTGTTGGACTCTGCTGGACTCTGTTGGACTCTGTTGGTCTCTGTTGGACTCTGTTGGTCTCTATTGGACTTTGTTGGTCTCTGTTGGACTCTGTTGGTCTCTGTTGGACTCTGTTGGTCTCTGTTGGACTCTGCTGGACTCTGTTGGACTCTGTTGGTCTCTGTTGGACTCTGCTGGACTCTGTTGGACTCTGTTGGTCTCTGTTGGACTCTGCTGGTCTCTGCTGGTCTCTGTTGGACTCTGTTGGACTCTGTTGGACTCTGCTGGTCTCTGTTGGTCTCTGTTGGACTCTGTTGGACTCTGCTGGTCTCTGTTGGTCTCTGTTGGTCTCTGTTGGACTCTGTTGGTCTCTGCTGGTCTCTGTTGGACTCTGCTGGTCTCTGTTGGTCTCTGTTGGACTCTGTTGGTCTCTGTTGGTCTCTGCTGGTCTCTGTTGGACTCTGCTGGTCTCTGGTCTCTGCTTCATCAGGGGCTCTGAGGTTGTTTGTAGTTTCCTTCACTACGCGGTCGATGAATGTGGATCAATCCACCGCTGAGAATAGTCCCCAGCAGACGCAGCGTTTCCTGTCGTCTGAGTTTGTGTTTGTTTGGAAACGATGCAGCTGCGACTGAAGCTGCGACTGAAGCTGCGACTGAAGCTGAGACGCGCCGCTCTGCGTCAGAGTGAGATCTGAGGCTGGAGGAAGAAAACAGGACAACAACAGAACAGTCCTTTAATGTTTGTTTATTTATTGATTATTGATTTCTTTAAAAAGATCACA